GCGATCCAGCTATTAGAGTAGGATAGAGCCACGCTGGGTGATCCTGAATTACAAGCACATTATTATGTAGTCTCATGGAGATGAAATGCTAAGTTTTAACATGAGGATTTTTTAGCTGTTTCTTCTTTTTCCCTTCCCCCTCCTGCTTTTTAAGTGAAATGATAGTTTGTTAAAGGTACTGAACTCACAGACTTTAATATAATAAGTCCTGCTTTTATCCACAGGGCCAAGTCCTTCTTGGTGTCAGTGAGTAGCCCTGTTGGAGTAAAGGAGACTACTCACGTGAGTAAGGAGGTTAGGTATAGGCCCAGGAAAATTGATATCAAGTACAGTGACAGAGGAATCTTCCCAACATTGCTTCATCAATGCATCCTAACCCTTATTTAGAGGGATCACCTTCGGGAGCCAGATGCTAAGTGTAGCATTCAATCCTTGATCTATGGCTTAGTCTTCCATCAGGGCGTGAGACATGATGATTTTTGTGATGTGTGGAAATCTGCTAGAAACATACTGAGGCCATTGCATTATGTGGTCTTTTATTTGTTAATTTGAGGTTTCAGAGGCATCACATCTTGGAATCAAAAGACACCTTGATTAAACTTACCTGTCCTGATTCTGTTTGTCACATACACTAGTTTTATGACTTCAACATGACTAGTTTTATGACTTCAACAGTAGAGTTACCTCAGGTTTATTCCAGTATAAGATTAGAATATGGCCCATTGACTTTAAGGACTTGCTGCATCTGAATGACTAAATTAGTGAATTCAGGTCCCTTTTAAGTAAGACTCATTTTACCTCTTACATTTTCATAGCAGATTTCAAGAAATTTTTAATTGGAATTGACATTAGAAGGTAGCTGTTTTGCAGGACTAATGTGTTAAAGCCACCAGGCTCTTTTTCTTTTTAAAATTGCTCACAAATAGAACTAATGAGAAGTAGAATTGTCGAAGGAATTGACATTAAAGATGAGTTCATAAGAAATTTAATGTGATGTGTGAATGTAATTTTTTTTAGGTCTTTTTCTTCTTTTACGGAGGGACCTGATTCTTCTCTCAGGGCAAGTCTACACTACAGAGTTACATCAGTGCAGCTGCAACAGGTCTGGTGATGCCGTCATGCCGATGGGAGAGCGCTCGCCCATTGGCATAATGACACTATCTTTGCGAGAAGTAGAAACTATGTTGATGGGAGAGTGTCTCCTGCCGACATTGTGCTGGTGTGGACAGCCCGAAACTTGCATTGCTCAGGAGGGGTGGGGCTTTTTCACACTCCTGAGCGAAGTAAGGTATATTGATTTAGGCTGTAGTTTAGACCTGCCCTCACTTATATAGGAATAAGTGAGCAGCAGCTCCAACGACGTCAGCTATGCCAGTTCATGAGATCAGAATAAGGCCTATGAAGTTATATGAATTACACAAGTATTTTTTTTAGTAACTTATTGGTTTGAAAGAAAAGGGAGCTGCTTTTTCAGCTGTGTGCCCATATAACTGTAATCTGATAAATTTTTGCAGTGCCTCTCCAGACACAATAGACAGGATGACAGCGCATTCTGTCTGCTTTCTTCAGACAGGTCCCAATTTAAAAAACAAAACAAAACCCTTCAAAGGATAACTATTGCATAAACAGAGTACAACTCAAAGCACAGTAGCTGCAGTTGCTACTGTGTTTGTAAAAGAACTCTTTAAGGATCACATACACCTAACAACTTGTACCCTCGTATGATCAATGGATTAGAGCTGCTGAATGAGAGTATGCAACAACTCATTAGCTGTAATATAAAAATGCGTGTTCAAACCAGGACAAATATACCAAAAGACAAAATATTCTTATTGCAGATATTACCTATAGCCTCATTTTGATATGACACAGTTTGAGACACTAAATAATGTAATCAGTTTGTGGTTTCAATTACTACGAACCATCTTGTAGGTCCTCTTGAAAATCAGTGTCAACTGTTCCTCAATTTGGCTGCCTACATTGCCCCATTTTATACAGTCACAGGTTGTGATTATTTACATGCCAGCTTGCTCATTTCCCCCATCTTGAATGAGTCTAGAAAAATGTACTGGACCATTACTGTGCTGTATAATGAATGTTGGGCTAAATGAACACAGTGCATATTGGACTGCATGCCCCAAATGTCTTCGCACAAAGTGCTGATGGCTTTATACGAACTTTCATTGTACCAAAAACCAAACAAACAACCCCCCCTCCCCCAATTAGCTATGCTAGATAACTTGTGCTTGTCAGAACATGTTGGTTTGAATTTTTTTCTGAGTCATTAAGTTGAATTGCATATTTAAAAAAAATCTAATCTAGCCCAGGCTTGGCACTTACATCATCGTGTCTAGTACAGATGTTGAAATCCTTGATGTTAACATTCTGCCGGAAAGGGTAGATGTAAAATATGTCTGCCCCAAATGAAATTCTGCCAAGTCTTGTAAGTCTGTAGCTAATTCTTTAGAGGTCATGTAGGATTAACTTGGCTTTGTAATGGTCTAGTATGATCACATTTTCCAGTGCATTCTATTTCTTTTAAGTGCTGTATTTTTAAATTAATATATAATTTACTCTCATTCCACAGGGAAAAAACCCAGCCCTTTTCTCTTCAGTTTTGTTTTAGTCGTGGTCCAGGATTTACTTTTATTCATTCTATATTGACTCCCTTATAACCACTTTAGATTGGCTGTCCTTTTAAACAAACAGTTTTTTAGTCATATAGAAGTACTATTTCACATTTTGTGTGTGGTTGTAGGTCAGTACCTCCATGGACACTTTGCATTGAAGTCCTATTGTGAGAATAACCCATACATTTTAAAACATGGGGACTGTATTTTTACAAAAGGCTGCTGAAATATTTTTAAGTTGCAAAGCTTGAGAAATTTAAAAATATTTGGTTAAGCACCCTAAAGCTTGGATGTTTCTCTAAACCTGTCTAGTATACAAACTTGGGCTGTAAATCTCAAATTGATTTTTTTTCTTGTCACACTTGAAGGATTTTCAGTTTCCACTTTGGCTGGGGATATTAGAGCCACCTCTCCTGCACGATTTTGGTACTTTTGATCCAGGAAATGAAGATGCTCAAGGACCAGAGGAGTGGGAAATAATTCTTTTTTTTTAACCTCCAGAAGTTTTTGTCCACTCAGTTCTTAGTTTATCTGTACTACTTCACTGATCTCTATTAAATGCTACTCTTTACTTAAAATATCATTTACATTTCTGTTGGCTCTTTGATCCAAAATAATTTCCAAATACTTTAATTTAAAACTTTTGACACCACTCCATCACTGAAATAAAGCCACGCAAGGGAGGGAGGGCAGTAGCTAGGCTGACAACCAGGGCAAGGCACTGCACAACGGGAGTCAGAGCTGTAATTTTGATTTCCTATTTATATGGATCTTGAGGCCCATCTCTGTAGTCTAGTGGGGTTGAATTAAAAGGAAACACTTTCCTTCATGAACACTCTAGGTTAAAACTCCACTTCTCCTTCGATGTGGTTAGTGAATCATGTTATTTTCTTGGGCCCTGTTGTTCTGTTCCTAGTTCTCCTTTTACTATTTTGTTAGCTCTCACCCAGTAATCAAAGGAGTAGATGAAGAAGCAATGAAATAGTGATAGCTCAATTGGTTTGCTGAAGCGCGCTGATCCCAGGGAACAGTAACTAGTGATATGCATCCCTTCTACAAGGCAAGTGACAGAAAAGGATAAGCAGTATATTTACTACATCATGGTTTGTTAATTTGATTGTTGCCAAGCCAAACAAAATGCCAACTGGAAGGTGACCAATAAAATACACAGATGTTGAAGACCTGTGTGTTTAGGGGATGATCAGTCTGTCCTGGAGTGAGCTGCAATCATAGTAGGGATGTTGTCACAGCTTCTGCCTAGAACAGATGTTGCAGCACCGCTGAAGATAAGACTAGGGGATTTTTGGGGAAGTGAAGCAACATGAACTCCATCTGGAGGAGATCATTTTGAATTTCTGGATCGGTTGATCTAACAAGCTCTGTTTAGAAAACAGCTGTGGCTTGAAACAAACTAGAGAACTGAAATACTCACTGGCGAACCGACCAGTCTGACTAGAAAGTTAAAGTTGGATAGGGTTCCTGCATGATTAGGTACCCATAACTGAGTGTGGACCTTTATTGCATAGCCATGGTATTGAGGCCATGGTACAGAGCAGTGCTCAACAGTTGGGTCAGAGCAATGCCAAGCTCTTTCGGAGCTTCACAGTTTCATCTGAACTGTTCAAGATACAGACTTCTCAGTCAAAAGCAAAGGCGATGACAAGAAAGTTTGTTGTACTGTCATTTGCTGGCATGCCACTGAAAGTACAGAGTAGTCAACAAGGTGTCATACAAACCTCAGACTTGGAATAAGAATGAACAGTTTTTCTCTTTGACAACATGTTTTAAAGGCAAAAAAATTTAATCAGTCACAGGAGTGCAGGCTTCCAGGGGACTCTACTCTCAGCAGTGTATTTCTAGAACTGTAAACATGTTAACCTATAAACAGAGTCTCCAAGCCCCTGTGCCTGCCAACTGCATTTAAAGGATTTGTTAAGCTGGGATCTGGTACAAAAGTCTGTACTGCATTGCTGCCGTGTGGTGATCAGACAAAGGATTAGTTCAAATTCAGACTAGAAATGTATTGCATCCTTTTCCTTTAGCTTGTTTTTCGTTTATATTCCATTTGTTTGTGTCTTAGATATATTCTGCTTTTTTCATTGGGGCATATGGAAGAACACAGGGTTTTTGTTCATCTGAAGTCATTGGTTCCTCATCTGAAGTTGTAATCCTGTAATGTGACATCTTCCCCCTTTTTTTTTTCTAAATCAGACGCACAAAGGGGCACAAGTACTTTAGTAACACCACCATGTTGCTCAGTGTGGACTATGAAAGCTAATATGCATTAAAATCTGATAGTCAGCCTCTTTGTCATAAACTGTGGCTTTATGATATAAAGTTGTTGATCTTATCTCTCTTTGCCCTCACCAGATAAACTATTAGTTCTAACTGTTGCAACTAAAGAAACAGATGGCTTTCACCGCTTCATGCAAACTGCAAAGCACTTCAACTATACAGTGAAGGTACTGTATGCTGTCACTCATGCTGAATATTGGACATAGTTTTATAGCCTTAACTCAGAAATGAAATAGTCTTAACACAGAAACAATGTGTCATGATTATGCTGCAGTCAGGTAAAACAGTTATGGAACCTAGCAATGGAGACAACCCATTAGGTCATCTGTTCCGTATCCTTGCAGGATATGTTTCCCATTAGACGTTTGCTAGTGTTTTGTCTAGTCTGTTTCTAAATGTGCCAGGGAATGGGGTTTCTTCCACGGACCTTGAGAAATTATTCCACAGATTCATAGATTTCACTGTTAGAATGACATTTCTGAAAGCGTGTTTTCTTTCTTAATTTCATTCCATTACTACCACATTTGTTATTACTCTTAGCTATTTTGCTGTTACACGTTTTCATTCTAAGCATGCCACCCTTCCCTCAGTATTCGCACCCTTCAAGTGTTTGTAGATTATCATGTCACACCTTAGTTTTTGCTTAGCAAAGCTATATTTATTTGACTACCTCATCATCCCTCCTGCAGCAAAACCCATGGGAGCTGTGCTGACAGAGCTCATGAAGCTGAAGATGCCTTCAGGGCCCCATACCTCTTAAATGGGTCCTACTATTGGGGAAGTGGGGTGCATAGAAACCTAATAAATCCCTTAGCTGTGTTATATTTCCCAGGGAATCTCTGTAGAGCTGGTGAGAGGACAATACAAATCTTCCCACTCCTCCCTTATCACTCTTTCACCAGTTTTGATCGCCCAATCCTCTTGCTGGCCTACTCTGGACTACTATTTCCAATGCAGAATGAAGGAATCTGTATCCTGAAGCTGCCTCCTGCATGCAAATCTCACAGGAGCATGATCAGCGCCCCCCGCCCCCCCATTTTTTAAACTTTTCTCCATAAATCAGTCCCTCAAGACAAAACCAAGGGATTGAAATGTATCTTTGATAAAACATTATCAATGCTTATCACATCCGATGAAATGAGCTGTAGCTCACGAAAGCTTATGCTCAAATAAATTCGTTAGTCTGTAAGGTGCCACAAGTACTCCTTTTCTTATCACACTATTGAAACTATAAATCAAAAGAGACCAATTCATGGCAGTTGGCCCATTGATTTCTCTTTTAGAAATAAGTTGAAATGCTGTAGTCTGTTTACTTCAACCATCAAGTCCTGAAAAAGTACAGGAGGAAAAATCATCTTTCCTAACTGAACAATAATATATTAAAAATCCTAGGAAACTGACCTTTGGAGAGTGCCATTTGCTTGTAATTTTGCTGATTGTTATATAGCAACTATATTGCTGTAATCCCTCTGACAGTTAGTAGTTCAAGAAAAATAATAATCTAGTGTTTAAACTTTCAAGGATTACAAAAGATTTAGGTGAAAAAAGAAAAGGAGTACTTGTGGCACCTTGGAGACTAACCAATTTATTTGAGCATGAGCTTTCGTGAGCTACAGCTCACTTCATCGGATTCATTGTAAAATGCAGTGAGCCAGCATTTCAAGCATTGTAAGTAACACGGCTGTTACTCTGAAAAGATTTAGGTGGTTATTGTTGATATGATTCCCTACAATACTTGGTAAAGATGGAATTCTGTTGATTTAATTGCCTATCATACATTGAGGAATCCATCCTAAACCTGTAGTGTGAGAAAGTGGCCTGAGGCATTAAAAACAACTAAATGTTTATAGTATCAGAGGGGTTGCCATGTTAGTCTGCATCTGAAAAAGCGGCAAAGAGTCCTGTGGCACCTTATAGACTAACAGACGTATTGGAGCATATGCCACTTAAATGTTTATAGTTTCCATTGTCATGTCCCTTCTATGCTCTCTTACCCCTCTTTATCTCCAAATACTGTAGCAATGTTTAAAGGTCATGTAGTGAGTGAATGTTTTAATATACAATTTAGAGGAATATTACCATCAACATATCTTCTCTTCCTAAGTGAGAGAGATATGAGATGTAGTGAAAAGTAATCTTTGGGTTCTTATTTGGTTAGGAATTGTGTCTCTATTTCTGAAATGATGTCATTGTGCTCAGTTCTACTTGAGGCATGGAAAACTTACAATGCTTGAAATGCTGGCTCACTGCATTTTACAATGCTAGAACATCCACTAGTTGGCGTTTGCTTGCTTGCGTCTGCTTTGATATCCATTTTTAAACAAGATTATATTAAAAATTACCCTCTGGGTACAAGTGAAAAAATACAATTTCTCCCTGTTCCCAGGTTCTTGGTAAAGGTGAAGAGTGGAAAGGTGGGAAGTTAATTAACTCTATTGGAGGAGGACAGAAAGTGCGATTGCTGAAAGAAGGAATAGACAGCTATGCTGATCAAGAGGACTTGATTGTAATGTTTATTGAATGGTAAGCAAATTCTGCTTGTTGCTTTCATGCTCTGTTCTGTATAGGATGCTAATAAAAGCTCTTGTGGCATGCTGATATTTTCTCCTCTTTTAGTTTTTATTGGAGAAAGTTAGCTTCTAGTTTTCCATTCATAAAAATATTATGCAATTGGAGCAGATGTTGGTTTTTGTCAGATTTACAGATGTAAAAATTGTCTCAGGGCCATGGCTCTGCTGTACTATAAACAATGTTATTGCATGACCAATCTGTGAAACCCATTGACTGACTAAACATTTGGTTATTAGTTTACCTTTTCCCATGAAAAAGCAACTGTCTTGTTGCTGTTCTAACAGAAGGTGATTGTGAGATGGAAATGGTGTGTGAGGAAGTGGTAAAAGCAGCTTCAAACTGAAGTGGTGGCCAGTAGACCGCTGGGGCATAATTCTCAAAAACACGAAAGCCCCTTTATGTTGGTCTGGCAGTTTAAAGGGGTCTTAAATAGGCTGGAAATGCTCCCTGAAAATATCTCCTGTGTGAGGGGTCTCCCCAACTGCTGTAGAGCTTCAGTAAGGGCCCCCTCACCAGCCATGATTCTACTGCCTGTGGGGAGAGGACAGCCCCACAGCAGGGATGTAACATGCTGCAGCACACTGAACTACCGTGATTTTCTGCTTCCCAGGTCCCATAGCAAAGTATAAGTTAGAGCAACCTCCCTGGGGGCCAGGTAGGTCCCTCAGACCAGAATACAAGGAGCACACAAAGGTGACCTGAAGCTATCTTTCCCTATACCCTCCCCACCTGCCAAATCCCTCCTGTTCCTTCCCTAAGGACAGGATTGGTGTAACTGAGAATCTGGTCCATGGAATTCTACAGAAGCTTCCCTGTCAACTTCTATCAGAGCCAGGTCAAACCTTTAAAGCAGTTGCCTTGGTGGATGCAAGGAGAGTGAATCACAAAGTAGGGAATTGCAGAAATGCTTCAGTTTGTGCACCCTGAGAAGTTTTGTGTGAGCTGAGTAACATCTGCTGCTTTTATTATTGACAGTGATGTCCTATCTGATGCAGACTTCTGTCAGTTTGGAATAAAATTTTTAGCAGACATACTACAATTCTTTTTTTTTTTCCTTTTCTCTTTCTTTTCATCTTTAAAACCACTCAGTCTGTCATTTACACACACACTCATTCTAAACAAGACCACAATGCAATGGCCTCTTGGACTTACATCAGGTTAATTTCTCTTTTGATTTAGTATAACTTCTGTGCAATTTTGGATTTCCTTTAAAGTTTGAGTGTTTTTGCAAGTTAAACAGATATGGAGGGGCTAGGTTAGCAAAGTTCATATGTGAGAGAGTGATCTCCCTGCATCATCTTATTTATTCAAAAGTTCTCATGCTTTTCTGATTACATTATGAGTTAGGGCAGCTGTTCGACTGGATTTTCAACCTTACAGTCATGTTTTATGACTTGACTTACATTCTCTCATTTTTTTCTCTTTGTGATATGCAAAAAGTAGTTAGAAATGGAAAGCAGAAATCAGTTTACCCGCTTTATGAACAACATTTGTAATAGAACTGATAGGGGACTAAATATTTTCACTCTCCTACATTTAATTTGCATTTAGAGTGATGTACGATTGGTAGGATAAGCTACCCATTCAGATATGAAATTGCTACTTCCAGACACTTTCTTTCATATTTAACCTTATTACCAATTTACTGTATTTTGATAAATGGAATGCATCTTGAGAGCAATTGTTTGTTTCATCCTTTAAAAGGAGTTAACCTTATTTGGGTTTGATAAAATGAGTAATTTAGTCTGCCCTATTGGGCAAGTACTAGTGAAACTTATTTTAAAATTTAATTTTGAAGATCTTTACTTAGGGTGTGTGTGTAATCTCAAATTTTTATACTGATTGTAGAGGGATTTCTTCCCCCTACCCTCCATTTTATATTTCTTGAGTTAGTCTGTCCTTTTTGCTTTTGCCCTCTCCCTAAGTGGGTGTAAAAGTCACGAGGTCTTACTCCGATAGTCTGAGTATTAAAGTCTCATACTGCTAATTCTCAGAGTCCCAGGTTCAAATCCCGCTGTTGCTCATGCAAGGTCAGTTAGATACACTGAACTACTGGTGCAGTCTCATAATTTCATGTAGGAACAAGTTCAGTTTTCTAGCTAGAAATGGGCTGTGGTATTAATCTAAGCTATGGCTGAACACCTGTGTAGAATTGGGAAGGAATTTTTCCCATGCTGCAAGATGCTTTTTCTTTTTTTGCTTTCCTTGAAGTAACAGGCAGGCATGGCATGTAATGAATGATACAGTCAATGACAAGATTTAGTTACATAAATGTAACTAAATGTTGCAGGAAAGGAGGGTAGTTTTTGCAAGGGCCTTTGCTTACTTCAACCCTGAGCAATGGGCCAGGAGCCAATGAGGACTCAGACAGGAGTATTGAGCATCTAAATTGTGCACATGTTCACTCATCCATTATCAGTATTTTTAGCACTTCTCTCCATGAAAGAGGAGCATTAGAAGGATGGTTAATCCCTAACGCTGGCATTTGTTTGGATCAGAAGTGAAGCTGCCTTGTATGATAAGAGAGCCCTCTCAGTTAGTGGAAATGGGAGCTCCACAATGGATTGGTGTTGCTGAGTAACAGTTGTGGTGGTGGTGGTGTTTAAATTAAAGCTCACTATTAATAAAGTTTAATCACACTGACTAATAAAGCTTCAGTTTGTTTTTTAAAGCCATAAACACCTGTGTGGGTTATTCTTTCGCTTGCTGAGTCCTGGCCAGCGTATCCATTTCACAAGTAGTTAGTGCAGGGCATTACGCTACTCTTCTGGGGATGAGGGAGGAATGGAGCCACTTTTGATAAACCTGCTATTGCAGCAGTAAATTTGCTTGGGAAGCAGTGCTCTGGAGAGGCAGCTGGCTCCTGTCCTCAGCTGGAAGATGCTTCAGTAGATCCATTTGAAAAAGTGCAGCCTGCCATAAAACTACTGGGCTAAAGCCTTTGACCAACTCCCCATCAGCCTTTCCCCTCTGTCTTGCTGTATCCTAGCTCTGAATCCGGCTTCACCAATTTGAATGGGAAGAGGAGGGAAGGATGTTTCTGGGCAAAGGCAGATAATTTTTGTAAGGCAGGGAAGGTTCCAAGGCATACTTATTTCTTTTCATAAAGCCTTGTGACAAACCTACAGGAGGGCAAACCAGTTTTCTATACGTTATGTAACACACTTCCTTTCCTTGGGGTGCGTATTTACCAGTTACTCTGGTTTGTGCTGTAGAGCCCTCCTCCTCTTCCAAACTAGTGGTGGCTGTGTTGGTCAGGTCTGCCAAGCCAAATGGATAGGATTACCTTTTTTAAAGGCTCTTTATACAATTGCAAAATTGGAATGAGTGTTAAGAAGTTCTGTGAATGTAAAGATACTTGGATGTGAAGCACTTTATTTTAGCATCATAAATTTAAATCCTTTTAGCAAAGTCTGTAAAGACTAGACTCCAGCACCCTTATTCCTACTCTGTAAGTAGGTCCCCTTCCCTTCAAAGGACTACTCTTAGAGTAGTACTCAGTGGATGGATTCTCCTTTAGTTTGTTCCTGCATTTGAGGAGGGAAGTAGCTTTCAGGCAGAGACCCTGGCGGGGTGTGTGGGGGGGTTCACCTTCTTTTACAGTGTGGGGCATTGATCACTTGCTGGTTTGAACTAGAGTAAATGGTTGATTCTCTGTAACGTGAAGTCTTTAAATTATGATTTGAGGAATTCAGTAAGTCAGTCAGAGGTTAGAGGTCTAATACAGGTGTGGGTGGGTGAGGTTCTGTGGCCTGCAATGTGCAGGAAGTCAGACTAGATGATCATGATCGTCCCTTCTGGCCTTAAAGTCTGAGTAATTGATGATACCTTTTGCGGGGCTTACTTAGCCTCTGCTGCCTGCCCCAACCCATGTAAATTAGAATGACTTCCGGGCTGCTCTGACACTCTGCTTCCTGTGGTCGCTGGGAAGCAAAGAATAGATGTTGTGCAGTACGCTCTGGCATGCCTTCTCCCCTAATGTATATGCTTATGCCTTTTGGAGTTAAGTGCAGCAAGAAATTGCACCTGCTTGAAGAGAAAGGGGCACCAAAGATACTATCAGAAAAATGAGTTTCCTTTTAAATTACTCATTTGTCTTCAGAGTAATTTATGAGGCAAGGATTTTTTTCCCTTAACTCCAGAAAATGGTGTTCTTGCTATTACCGTGTCCTCATCCTGGCAGATAGATTGAGATTGTTTTTGAAGTCTCTCTTCCTTCCCCTCTTCCCCCATAGGAAATAAGCTGGAAAGTATGCACTATGCCAAGTCTCTCAATTTTGGAATAAGGCATTTTTTTGGCAAAGGGACTTAACTCTGACTCTGCTGCTTCTGTTATGGTTCATAACAAGTAGCTTTTGCCAGTGGTTTTCTCTTCCTTTATAGAGGATGCTTTAAAAACCCATTTCTTATAAATGCCTCTTTCAACAGCTGTTTTATTACTTAAACAGTATTTTCCTTTAGAGTAAATAAGATAAATGCCACTAATTTTCAGAGTGTATGCATGCTTAGATTTAATCTAGGGAGAATAGGGACTTGGGCAGATATCGTGCCCTCCACTGCCAATGTCTACAGGAAAGTCAGTTAGGTGGGGAAGCTAACTGCATTGTGTGGTATGGGTTGGGGACAGATGTAACAATAGCACTAAGTCAGGTCTTGAGGACTTCAACGACTGGTGTAGCTTCATTGGTACAAATCCTTAGTGTAAAAGGGGAAGGCAAACAAGTGCAATTAGTCCCACTTTCAAGCAAAATAAGCTGCACCACTTCAAAGAGTATCTTATTTTTGCTGGCTATACTGGGTGTTGGTAATGGTACAGCTACACTAATGGCTGGTCACTCACTGCTGTACCTGGTTAGAGAAGGCCTTAGAGGAATCGGAGCCTTGTCAAGTGACAGGGATATGTAACTTAGAAATGCACCATTGGCAGGAATAATTTAAATAAATTGAACTACACATAAACAGTGCTTATTGTAAAATTAACTGTAACCTCTTGGGAAAGAGACCTGGGCATCATTGTAGACAGCTCAGTGAAAACTTCTGCTCAATAAGCAATAGCAGTCAAAACAAAAGGTTAAGATGTGTAATGAATGAGATAGAAAATATTATAATGCTCTCAGTGATATGTCTCTTTTCACCTAGAATACAGTGTAGTTCTGCTCAACCAACCTCCAAAAAGTTATAGCAGGAAAATGGTGTTCAGATTTGAGAGAGTAATATTACTAGAAATAGAAAGATTTCATTATGAGGATGGAATGAAACACTGGAGCTATTTAGTTTAGAGGTGAGGGAGAAGAAGGGATATGTTTGCTTAATACCAAATGATGAATGAGATAGAGAAGTTAAATGCAGAGCTTCTGTTTACCAGTTTTTTGTAGTACAAGAACATAATGAAATTGAAAGGCAACAATCTTCAAAACTGAGAAGTTTGTTTCCCCTCTCCCCACTCGGCCCTCCAATGCACAACAAACTTGTGACGCTCACTCCTCCAAGATATCACTGAGACCAGGCGCTTAGCAGGATTCAAGGACTGGACATTCTCATGGGTAAAGAGAACATCCACATTAACGCTACAGTGGCAGCGGGAGAGGGGGATTACAAGGAATAAAAGACTTTCTCTTTCATAGCTATCCAGTAACTGACCAGATTTAGGCAAAACTTCTCCTATGGGCAAGTAGTTCAGACTGGTCTGTTGAAGGGCTTCTTTCCCCTTCCTCAAACATCTAGTGCTGGCCATGCTAGGAGACAGGCTGCTGGACAAGATGGACTACTGATTTAATTCAACCAGCAATTTTTATTTCCTATGCTCCTATTAATTTGGTTTACTTTTTTGAAGTAAGTGACTAGATTGCATAGTAAAAAACCCATAGATCAAGACTCAGACCACAGGGCATATATCTGTGCTATGCAACATATTCATGGTATTTATTGCATATGTAATTGCTTTAAATTCAAACCTCTATAATTGTCACTAAGGAAAGCAGGCATCCTAGCCTCCCACTTACTGACTGGAATAGCACCTAAAGTGTGCATAAACAAGGGCGCTAGTCATTAGATGTAGACAGTATTTCATTATATTAGTGTTAAGGTAGATGCATTCATTGGTTTCCCTAGGTTTACAACTGTAGGGCTACTGTACATGCTCAGTATGTGACTTTTTAAAGATAGTCACCCCATCAAATCAAAACTAGTTGCTTTCTGGAACAAGACCACTCACTGCTTTCCAGCAAGGGCCATTTTATGCCAGATTTCAACCCCAATCTGTGTCAGTTGTTGAGCTCCTACCCAATAAATAAATTAATTTTAGAAAGTTGTTTTACAATTGGAAAAAGTATATTCTTATTATTATTATTTAAAACTCCTTAAACTAAAAAAACCCAACCAACCAAACAAAAAAAAAAACCCTCCAAATTAGAGGCAAAGCCTTAAACATTTCAGCCAAAAAAGTGAAATATTCAGAGAATTTTGTGTGTAAGTGGTCAGGGAAGGGATACATATATGTAGAGTGGTTAAGATAGTGATTGGTCATATCTTGGTAAGAAATAGGATCTGTAGATGGTGTTAACTTAAAGTATGGTGATATACCATGTTTCTGAATGAAACAGTTACATCAAAATTAAGAGACCACTCTTAGGTTTATTTAACTCTGCATGGTTTTAAGTCTGAATAAGCCAAAGCTTTTCTGATTTGAATTTTCTTGTTTAAAATCAGAGCTATCTAACAGGTCTCTCTCCATTACTTTAGCTATGATGTTATCTTTGCGGGTGGCCCTGAAGAGATGCTAAAGAAGTTCCAGCAAGCTAATCATAAAGTAGTATTTGCAGCAGATGGACTAATATGGCCCGATAAAAGATTAGCAGAGAAGTATCCTGTTGTCCGGAGTGGAAAACGATTCCTTAATTCAGGAGGTAGGTATGACTGTTGTACATAGTAAAGGTTAATTAAGGTTAGCTGTTCTGTTGTTCTCATTGTGTGTGTGTGTGTGTGTGTGTGTGTGTAGGGGGGCAACTAACCTAAAGTGCAGGTTTCCTAAATTCATGTTTGGGCACCTAAATCACCATTAGAGGAAAAATTTTTGTTCACTCTTGTGACTGAGAATCACCTTGTTCTTTTCTTCTTTCAGCATGAAGGAGTCTTGCTTTATTCTTAGCTAGGTGTCAGCCTCCTTACATCACCAGCCTGTTAGTGACTCAAGAGCTCTTCTCTGGGCTATGCCAGCTCTTACTTTACCTTGCAGTTTAACAGGTTCACCCCAGTCTTCAAGTCCCTTTTGAAGTGATCCCCTCACATGGGCTACTCACAGAGCTACCAGGTCCACTGTTCCCAAAGGAACAGAACTCATCAGTTTGTAAGATTCAGCTCAAGATCACTACTTTGCTTAATATCACAGCACTTCAATAAACTTATTCTCATTGTCAGTATAAATTTATTATCAAAGATTCAAGTGATAGAGTAAAAATACTAGAAACAAATATAAAACACAACTGTAACATGCTTTCTAGAGACTAAACTTAACTAACAGGTTAACCACTTGTCTAAATAAGTTCATCTCACCCAAAGTCCTCTGCGGTGTTTTCAATGAAGGCTCGCTGAGATCCCATATACCCTCAAAGTTCATTCTTTGCTCATAGACAGGATAACCACCTGAGGCTTGCTTCCCTTGCCCCCACCCCCTGCGTGCTGCTTCTGTGTTGACTTTGTATATAAATGAGCATCCATTGTGTTAGCTTATACTTCTTAATTTACATCCTGAAAGAGGGATATACATTTCTTACCTCCTGGCTGAAGGAAAACCTGTTTTTCATCTTTGCTGGTAACTAATACATTTATACAGACTTTAAAATACATGTGAAGGTCTTGTGCTGCCAATACTGAATTTCTAAACATTATAGATGACCATTTCCTAACTCAGAAAGTGTTGTGGCCAACATGGGGGTTGATCTAATATACTTAGCCTTCTGTAAAGCATTTTACTTGGTATGTTCAATGTTTTGATTAAAAATCTAGAACGATATAAAATTAACATGGCACACATTAAATGGATTAAAACCTGATTGACTGATAGGTCTCAAAATGTAACTGTTAACAGGGCATCATCACTGAGTGGGTATGTTTACAGTGGTGTCCCAAAGAGATCGGTTCTTGACCCTAAGTTATTTAACATTTTTATCAATGACCTGGAAGAAAACATAAAATCGTCACTGATAAAGTTTTCAGATGACACAAAACGTGGGAAAATGGTATATAATGAAGGGGACAAGTCACTGATTCAGAGTGATCTGGATCACTTGGTAAACTGGGCACAGGCAAACAATATGCGTTTTAATATGGCTAAATGTATATGTATACATCTAGGAACAAAGAATATAGGCCATACTTGCAGGCTGGGGGACTCTGTCCTGGGAAGCAGTGACTTTGAAAAAGATTTGAGTGTCTTGGTGGATAATAAGCTGAACATGAGCTCCCAATATAATGCTGTGGCCAAAAGAGCTATTGCAATCCTGGGATGCATAAACGGAGGACCCTTGAGTAGGTGTAGAGAAGTTTCGTTACCTCTTTATGTGGCACTGCTGCTACCACTGCTGGAATACCGTGTCCAGTTCTGGTGGTCACAATTCAAGAAAGGTGTTAATAAATTGGAGAGGATGCAGAGAAGAGCCACGAGAATGGTTAAAAGATTAGAAAACCTGCCTTATAGTGATAAATAGATTGAGCTCTTTGAATCTAATGTAACAAAGAGAAGGTTAAGAGGTAACTTGATTCCAGTCTATAAGTATCTGCATGGAGAGCAAATATTAAATAATAGGATCTTCTATCTAGCAGAGAGGTATTGTGACAGGGCACTATTAGTAGCACCCTGGTCTCTGAGGTTGCTACAGCACTGGGATGAGTGCAGGCTTAACTGAAGCCAATTAATCAATTTTTGTTGAGGGTTACTGACATTTGGCAATTTCTGGGCTAATGGGACAATTGGCTCAGTAATTGGGAGGATATAAGTGGGAGGAACAGGAAGCAGGGGAAAAGCTTAGAGGGTGAGCTGGGGCTGAGCAGAGAAGGCTATGTGGAAGCCGCTTCTTGCTGTAAGCCTTCAGTATGCTGTTATACTTTGTAAGGCTAGAATAAATATGTGGTGAAGGGGCAACAACCTGGTATGTTCTCAGTCATAAAAGACACATGAACTGGCCAGGCAGTGAAGTACGCTGGATAGCAACCAAGGAAAGGTATACACAGGAGGGGTATAACACAATACAATGGCTGGAAGGTGAAGCTAGACAAATTCAGACTGGAAATAAGGTGTAAATTTTTGACAGTGAGGGTAATTGTCCATTGGAATAATTTACCAAGCATTGTGGTGGATTTTTCATCACTCACAATTTTTAAATCAGTGCTCTAGGAATTATTTTGGAGAAGTTCTCTGGCCTGTAATACACTAGGTCAGACTAGATGATCACAATGGTCCCTTTTGGCCTTGGACTCTGTGAGTCCATCTATGAATTTTCAGTGTATGTTTAAGTAACTCCTTACATAGTATCTGTACACACTTTTCACAGTGGTATTAATGACCAGTGTGATGCTGGCTTTCATTTGAGATTTCACATGACATGCTATTGAGAACTAGGATGCACACACCGGACTCATGAGATTTCTATAACTCTTTTGTCAGTTAGCATTGAGAGGTTCTTGGGTCACAACACTTTTTGTAATAGTATTCTCTATTTTCTTTTGCAGGAATGCGTAGGAAGACATGTGCTAATTTGTGAGGGGGAAAGGAGGGTTATTGAATTGAGAGAGCTAAAATATTTATTTAGCAAAAACATTGCTTGGACAAACTCTGGCTCTGGAGCTGCCAGGATGGGGTTTCTTCTTGGTGACTTTTCCCTGATGGCTGCCGTGTTTTTGCTAGAGATTCTATGATTGATTTACTTTTTTAAAAAAAAAAAACAGCAGTAAAGTCTTTAGACTTTGGTTTTGCAAAGATGACGTACAAAATGTAAACCAAGTGTAACTGAGGCCTGGTCTACACTTAAAAATTAGATTGATCTAGCTATGTTGCACTGAGCTGTGAAAACATTTTCACCCTGAGCCATGTAGTTAAATCGACCTAAACCCTGGTGTTGACCTCCCTACTGCCTCTCATAGAAGTGTATTAACTACATCAACGGAAAGAATCTTTCCCTCCAATGTAGGAAGCAGCTACCTTCTAGCTCAACAGCAGCACGGCTGCAAATGATGTAGCTTTGCTGCCCCAGCAGCTGTGCTGTAGACGTGCCTTAGAAGGTAAGGTCCTTATGAGTCTGCAGGCAGCTTGCAGCAATAGCTCTGAGAGAAGTGTGACCTACTGCTATTTGATTTCAGTGAAGTGCTAACTCTGAAGCCGAACTGTTGTCACTTTAAATGTCAGCATGGTGAACCATTTAATTGCTGAGAAGAAGGAAATACGTTGACTATGAAAACCTGCACCATCTGTTGTGCATGGCATCTTGTCTTGGGCTTCTCTTGGACTCATGAGTGGTTGGAGCTTCATAGACACAGCTTTTGAAAGTTAATGCCATTTCCGCCCCCCACGCAATGTAGCCCCTGGTTTGTTTTGGTTTGTTTTGTCTTTGAAGTAAATGTGATGTATGGCAAGTTTCAGCTGAATTTCCTGTACTGTTGTGGCATGTTGAATTTATACTTTCCTGCCAGCAAGGAGAGACTGACAACACTAAGGCTTAGCTTCATGCCATTTTCCACAGCTGGATCCCTTCTTTCTCAGCAGCAGGCGTAGCCTCAGACCCATACCTTGGAACTGTCTGAGCTATTCCTCTAGCCGTCTAAAACAGATCCCAGAATCCTTCATGTTTCTTAATATACCATTATAAGGAAAACTAAACAGGTGAAAGCGATTCAAAATATGTACCATGAAGACAGATCTTTGGAGATGGAAATTGATGGCAGAGAATGGTTACACTGCCATCTGACATGCAATGGAATGATCAGAAAGATAGTTTTCAAGTAGAAATAAATTCTCTTGTGTGATATTGCAGGATTTATTGGTTATGCTCCATATATAAACCAAATGGTACAGCAATGGAACCTGCAAGATAATGATGATGACCAGCTGTTTTATACCAAAATCTATATTGACCCACTGCAGAGGGTATGTAGTGACTCATTTTCCCCTTAATAGTAGTTCTTGCCACTTGAAATAACTTGCTGCTTCAATTGTAGTGTCAGAAGGCTGCTACAAACTTGCTAAGAATGAAAAAAAAAGTTTGTGTAATTAGCTGTGAATGCCATAGTGCAAAGATGGTTGCTGTACTGCAGGGGCTCTCAGCCTAGAGGGTCACAAATAGGGTTCAGGAGGATCATGATTCAGAGTGTTGTTTCAGGCTGTCTGCGGATCTTGGCAGGCATCACTGTATTGTCTTAAAATAATAGCTCTGCGATATGTGATCAGCCCCATTAATCTCAATAAAGACCCTGTGGACTCTGCAGGTACCTCTTGCTCTCCAACTTTCCACCCAAAGGGGGAATTAATCGGATTACAGCCTGGATTCTCAGCATGGGGAGCACAAGCCCCTATCCATCCCATATTGCTAAATGGGAGTTCCAATTAAGTCCCAGCAAATGAGAAGATCACAGGGTGGTCCTGGTATGGCAAGAGAGGTCCCAGCGTGGAAGAGTCTGGGAACCAGAATGACATGCCAAAGTTTCAGAAGGTCATGCTTCAGAAGTAATTTGGAGTTTATAACATGGGATAAAGGAAATGGCTTACTGAGAGGTGGAGTCCTTTGAAATGTATATAAAATCAAAATCAAACAGTAGTTTGTGAAAGCAAGTCACAAAATATGTAAGGAAATCTGGAGAGCCAGGAAGAACTGTAATTCAAAGGAAGAACTGTAATTCAAAGCTGAATATAAATCTTTTCTGTTTGAAGTGTATATGCCTAGATCAACATTTTTAATTTTGGGTTCCTACAGCCAGGCACCTAAATCTGTAATTAGAAATTTAACTCATACCCTGAGTTTCAGAGGTATAGTTAATCAGAGCTGCAGCGTGGAATTCCTGTTTGATCCTTGCTAAATGCTGTTTTCACGGCAATGAAATACTTCAAAAATATTTGCAGGTCACCTTTTAGGCCTGATACTGAATTCTTTGTTCACCTTAAACTCCACTGAAGCCAAGGAGAGCTTGGGGCATTCAATGAAATATACAAAGAAGCCCTAATTATTTTCTAGGGGCAGTGTAGAAACTTCAGTTCTAGTAGAGCTGTGTGTATTAGAGCTACTGATACTGTGTTATATCAAGAAGCTTAGTTTTAACTTTTATATTTGAAGAAATATGCTTTATTTTGTGTATGGGGGGGGGGAGTTGTTTGGTTTTAAATGTTAATCCTGTTTGGCTATGACTTTAGTCTTTTTTAGTCCAAGAGAGGGCATGGGGGGGAGACTTCTCTCTAGCTTATACTGACAAACTGATTCCTTTGGAAAGTCATGACGTCCATTTGCTGAGTTTACATAATTTAAAGCAAACTCATTGCTTATGTATAGGGCCTTACCAAATTCACAGCCGTGATAAATGTGTCCCGGACTGTGAAATCTGATCTCCCTCCATGAAATCTGTATAGTATAGGGTAAAAGCACACAAGACTGAATCCAAGCATTAGCTACAAATTAAAAAAACAAAAACATTCTCTATCAAATTTAACAAATGGAATAGAAATGAAGCAAAGGAAACAATGAACTGTACAAACGTCATTTTTAGGCATCAAGTGTCAGGGACTTACCACTACTTTGAAAATGCTCCCTTGAAGTCTTTAAACCATGATTTGAGGACTTCAGTAGCTCAGACACAAGTTAGGGGTTTGTTACAGGAATTGGTGGGTGAGATTCCATGACCTGCGTTTTGCAGGAGGTCAGACTAGATGATCATAATGGTCCCTTCTGACCTTAAAGTCTGATTCTATGATTCTAAGACCAGATTTCCTGGGAAACACCAGCATTTCTCAAACTGGGGGTCCTGTCCCAAAAGGGAATTGCAGGGGGTTGGAAGGCTATTTTAAGGGTGGCAATACCACAACCCCCCCCCCCCCCCACTTCTGCACTGTCTTCAGAGCTGGGCAGCCAGAAAGCAGCGGCTGTTGGCCAGGCACCCAGCTCTGAAGGCAGCACCGCCGCCAGCTTCAGCACAGAAGTATGGGTAGCAGTACTGCAAACCCCCCTACAATAACTTTGCGATTCCTTCCTCCCCTCCCTCGCCCCCCCCACAAACTCCTTTTTTGGTCAAGACCCCTATAATTACAAACCCATGAAACTTTAGATTTAAATATCTGAAATCATTAAATGTACGATTTTTAAATCCTATGACTGTGAAACTGACCAAAATGGACCGTGAATTTGGTAGTGCCCTACTTATGTACTAGATCAATTTAAACAATTTTCTGATAAATCAGATGTTCTGGAGGGAATACATGTGCAAGTAACTGTCATCTGTAAAGCTAAATGAGACTTTGAAAAAGAAGAGTATTGAAAGATTAAAAACTTGCAATTAGATCCCAAAAACAGATGAAACCTAAAAAACCTGTAACTTTTAACTGGTTAACATCTGTCAATACATGTGCTATGCTAACTTCTATAACACCTCAGTGTCTTTGCTGTTTTTAATTTTTAGGCACGTATCAACATTACTTTGGACCACAAGTGCAGAATTTTCCAGACCCTGAATGGAGCTGTTGGTATGTGTATTAGCATATATATTGATTGGCATGTACTGCATCTGTGTCTGCCGTTAACATTCCTTTTTTGTTTGCTTTTAGTGAAAATAGTTCTCTTATTTAAATAAATAAATTTTACATGTATGCAAGGGATTACTCCATGATGAACACATTAGTAAGATTATCAGGCCTCTCAGATCTGATATGTACAATATCAATTGATTTTTCTGTATCACTAGCAAAAATTTTAATAGTTTTGGTATATCTAAAACTAGGTTTGTCTAACAGTGAATTTCCTTCCTTACCTCCACCTTTGACTTTCAACTGTGGAACAACAAAATTGAATTCCTTCGTAAATGGAAAGTTAAAGTTATGCTATTTTATAAGCTCTAAGCAAAGCTTCTTAAAACATGTGAAGGATGTAGACCTTATTCTCCATGTCTAATTTACCTATGCAGTGCTTAGAGACTAAGGTAATAACACCCATTAGATAAGTAGTATAAATTAATACTTCGCTCTTATATACCATTTTTCATCCACAGACCTCAAAGTATTTACCGAGGAGGTCAGTATCCTATCTGTTTCACAGAGGGGAAACTGAGGCATAAGGCAGAAAGGCACTTTCCCTCACTCACCCAGCAAAATAGTGGCAGGGCCAAGACTTGAACATAGGGCACTGGACTTAGGGCCAGACCACTTACAGGACTAGAATATATTTAAAGTCTGTTAATTGTGACACAGCACCAATCGCTTGAGCATCCTCCAATTAACTATTTTCATTCGTATTGTTAACATGCTGGTTAATGTGCAGATGAAGTTCTTCTGAAATTTGAAGAAGGAAGAGTAAGAGCAAGGAATTCAGTGTATGAGACGCTGCCCATCACTCTGCATGGAAATGGCCCCACTAAAGTAAGTGACAGTCACTTTTTCAGCTTTTATCAAGGACCAGTTTTAATAAGACAACAAAAGAAACTGAAATAAACTTTCAGCATAGCACAGGTAAATGAGGGGCTCACTTTCCGATTAACGTTAATATGCGTCGTGGCTAAAGTTTCATATATTGTGCTGATCATTTACTCTTCAGCCTGTTATTCCATTGCCACTATATTGATAACAAGTTATATCAATTGCTCACTCTTTGCTTAGCAAACTGATTGCAGCGCTGGATTTCAGAAGCTAATGCTTTCATTGAACTATCATCATTGCTGAACAGCAAGTGGAGAACTTTGATTTTATTCATAATCACAGTAGGTGATTTATGCATAGTGGGGCTTTTTTCAAATAAAGTATGTAGAGGTTTTGGGGGGAAGAGAAGTCCCAGGCAGGGCACAGAAGTGGAGTATAACGCCTCAAGGCTGCAACTGCCATCCTGCCAACACTAATCATTTTAAAATCCTGGCCACTACTGACTACTAGGTTTTTTTCCTCCTAGCATTTGATCTTTTAAAATTAATATCTACTATATTAAATGTTGTAAACTATGGTTGACTTAATTCTAAAATACATACTAGATAGCTGATATTTCTTCCATATGGCTTCCATTTACAAATATTTGCTTTGATTCTATTTGGCACTAATTAGTACCTCTACTTAGCTGTCAACACTCAGATACGATTGTATTTTTCTGTTTGTTTTGTTTTTTTAAGTAACGTGTGTGACAAGTGGATCGGGTGAAGCCTAATTCCCAAAATATTCTATATTAAACAAAACTTGTTTCTTGTTTATAGTCACACAGCAGTTTACCCTACTTCTGTCACGGTGCAAAAGCATTTTAAGGATTTTAGTCTAAAAACCTACTGAAGCAGGAAAAAAATAATCCTACTATGAGTTTCTCTGAAACATTTTGTCATAGTCTATGATTGTGCCCTTCAGTGGCAATAGAGTTTAAGCAGAGATACATAAATGTGATGAACAGGTTAGAAAAACATTTAAACGATCACCAGATGAGGAATGGCCATGCATTGAAATAATCTCCAAAACTAAAATACTTAGTATTTGCAAGAAACTTCTATTTTATACATGCTCTGTTGAACTCAGATTAGGATTTAGTGGATTACTTTTTATCTAAAAGGTAGGAGCAAAATTATAGCAATAATGTAAAGTGTTCTTTACTCTTTTCCTTAGTGTAGTTATATTTGTATTGGTGTCATATTTTATTTGGCTAAGCACTCTTACAGATTTATTTTTAGGTATCTGAAAGTCCGGTAACGATTTAGTTTTTGTCTGATTTTGATAAATATTTTCCACTGACTACATCTGATAAAGAAGAGGGAAATAAACATATCAAGAAATAAACAAATGGAAGCAAACTGTAACATATTTGAGTCTATCATGGAGCAGTTTTCACATGGGAAATTATGTTCTGCCTACTCACTGAGTATGATAGGGGTGGTTGTAGGGCATTAACCCATGAGAATGGTAATATGAATTTGGAAGGGACCTTATTTGCTAATGTGGCCATGGATAAAATATGGCATCCAGGAACATATGGCACCCTAGACAGCCTAACCTTCAAATAATTATATAGCTGATTTGAAGCCAATTCCAAAATTGCCAACACAACTGCCAGAGAACCTGTCGGAGAGCCAGGTGCATTAGTGAAATGTGTTCCACTGTTTGTTTTCTGGGTCCTGGAATAGCTGAAAAAGCTTCAGTCCAATTCATTTGACATCTGTGCACCTGTATCTTCTAAATTTTATATATCCCTTCCCAGGAAGTTTTGCCCTTTGCCCATCTCTATTTTCCCATAAATACCAGTGACCATCAGTTGCAGGAAGGGTACTAACTTGGTTCTGCTAATATTTTTTTGGCATGGCATCAGTCATGGCATTTTTCAAAGACGGGTGAAATGCAGTATGTGTTTTATTATGCCCACCACAATTGTTCAGCTTCCTGAATCTGTGACCACAAATTCCAGAGGATGTTATCGCTGTATCTTGTAAAAGGGGTCAAAATAGCTTTTAGCAGATGTTTTTTTGTATGTGTTTTGTTTTGTAAAGAAAGAAAAGCATACCTATACAGAAATTATTAAACCAATATTGAGGATTAAAATTGATGTGTTGATCTCTATGTTAAGATACAGGGATGGGTTGCATTCACATATAGTAAATGTGAATTGTTCTTTTGCTTACTAGATTCACCTCAGTTACTTTGGAAATTATATCCCTAATGCTTGGACACGTGAAACTGGATGTGGTGTTTGTGATTTAGATTTACTAGACCTATCAATGGTTAAAGTAAGTATATCTCAAGTATAACTGAACACTTTATAATACATGAATTTCAGTGCCCTTATAGTGCTTTTTCTGAGACAAAAAGGCTCCAGTTCATAATGTTACATTTCAAGCACACTTGAGGCTGTTTTCATATGTTAGATATTATACAAAATAATAATGGAAACAGATTCATGAGTTACAAACTTATTAGTACTATTTTAAGTGGCAAATGTCAATATTTTCATATTGGTTATAATTTGGCATACCCCAGAGCCTTTTTCCCCCCTCATCACCAGCCCCACCCCAGAGCTCTCATCCCCTCCACACCCCAACCCCCTGCCACAGCCTGGTGAAAGTGAGTGAGGGTGCGGGAAAGTGAGAGATGAATGGAGTGGGGATGGAGCGAGCGGGGGCGGAGACTCAGAGAAGGGGAGGGGGAGGGGCAGGGATGTTCGGTTTTGTGCGATTAGAAAGTTGGCAACCCTACTTGCATAGGTGTATGTGATTGCAGATTGTGCCCCGTAACCAGCTACAAGTCTGTAGAAGGATGGGAGGGACTATCTATGTGTGGAAGGGGGAATCACACCAGTTCAATGTCATTGTTCCCTCACCCCCACCCCCACCCCATGCTGCCTTCTGGACCCCTGTGAAGGGTGGGTCTTGAGCCCATGCTGTGGGAGAGGGTAGAGAATGGGAGAGGTCAAGGGGAAGGAGTGTATAGGCCAGGAATAGGGGTTGTTAACATACATATTCCCCACCATCCCCAGTGACATACTCTCTTTTCATAGCTGTTTCCTTCACCACCTCTCTTGGCTGCCCCAAGACTCCCTGTGGGAGTGTCTGGTAGCAGGACTCTACTGGAACACTGTAGCCAATGAGCAGAGGAGGGCCCAGGAGGTCACCACCAGTGCAGAGGCCCAAGAACTCTGTGTGACTGGCCCTGATCTCTTGGAACTCACCAGGATCCACCAAATTTGCAGATGAGCCCTTCAGGTCTCTCTGTGGCTTGAGGGGGGGCAAATCTCTCTCACCCACCAAAAAAGTGGTATAATGGTGGGGAATCTCTGTGAAATAAATCCTCAAGAAGATTTCCTTCACCTTAGTCCTTTGTTTTCCTTTGTGTAATGAGCAAAGGATGCAGTGGTGACTGGAGCGTGTGTGTGTGTGTGTGGTGCTGTGCAAACATGTCCTTGAAGGGCTTACAGCTTAATTAAAGGCAAGATGCAACAATTGAGTAAGGTGTAGGGAGGGTGGATGGACCATGATAAGAAATAATGAGGCTGTAAAGGTGCTGCTTCCTTAAAAGGGCTTATGGGACCACATCTCTTCCAGAGTAACAGCCGTGTTAGTCTGTATTCGCAAAAAGAAAAGGAGTACTTGTGGCACCTTAGAGACTAACCAATTTATTTGAGCATATGCTTTCGTGAGCTACAGCTCACTTCATCAGCATGCTCAAATAAATTGGTTAGTCTCTAAGGTGCCACAAGTACTCCTTTTCTTTTTTTCACATCTCTTCCGTTTGCATTGGGGATGGGAAGGCTCAGCTACCTACCCCTAGTCCTGTTCCGTGGTGCTGATGATGTGGTTGCTGCTTCTGAATTTCTTCCTGGAGAATGTGGGGCTATCTTGAAGTGCCACACCCGCAGAATAATCCCATGGAATTTGAAAAATATGCAAAATCGAGTGTATTGCCCGTCTTGCTTGTGTGTGCTTTCTATTATTGGTAGCAATTACATATGCCCTGCTTAATGATGCATTTTATTACAACATGTGCACTTCACTGATAAATCTTCTTCATAGAGTGGTTAACATTTGCTTGTAATCAACAATACAAGTTATCCTGACACGAGTCTCAGTAGAGCAGTTCCTGCCAGAATGACAGTAGATTGGAAATTTTAATAATGTGTGAAATCCAGAAACAGTGCTGTATGCAGTGGTGTTGTATCCATGTCCGTCCCAGGTTATTAGAGAGACAAGGTGGTTGAGGTCATATCTTTTACTGGACCAGCTTCTGTTTGGTGTGAGTCACCAGCTTTCTTTTTAGTAAGATCATGATTTTTAGTGTTTAGCAAAGTTACGATAATAAAGACTGGATTTATGGCTTTTGAATCCGCCAACCCCCCTTTTTGTCCTCATGACTACAGAGGTGTTAACAGGCTATTTCACCTTATATGGTTCCTTAGAATATGCAGTACTTGTGCTACGCTAGTTGTGTATTTAGCTGTGACACTAGCAGTAGCTTTTCCAGACCTGAAGAATAGCTCTGTGTAGCTTGAAAGCTTGTCTGTCTCACCAAACTGAAGTTGGTCCAATAAAAAAGACATTACTTCACCCACCTTGTCTCTCACTTGGACAATGACACTGAAATTTCAACACATCCTGATATCTTGTGCAGACGCACTGTAAGTGAATGTAGACTTGCTTAAAGAGAACTAACTTGAAGATTTTTATACCCATATTTGGTTTCTGTCTGAAGTCCATTGCAGTGAGTTTTAACAATGTTTATATTAATTGTCTGGTTTAGAAGTAGAAAAATATTTTTAATGATACATTTTTGTGTGTAGGAGTACATTACTGAAAGCTTAGATGTCTATCTCAAATAACTTACAAACCTGTTCTAGATAAAAAGTTACCTAATTTTGTTTTAGTGGTGGTCTTTTTATAAAACATTCCTGTAATTTAATATTACTGTTCTAAACCAAAAGTCCAAAATAATTTTAGTATCTAAATGGTATAAAAGCCTTTGCTTGGCTTTACAACACTTCTCTTCTATTTTTAATGAATTATTTAATTATTCTTGTTACCATAAACTGCAAACAGAAAAATAACTTTTGCTTAATGCTAACGAGCTGCTGTTATGCCTTGCCTGTCTTTGGCTGCTTTCCATGCATTATTGAACTCGTATAATATAGATGAGTAAAATATTTTGTGGCATAAATTCAGTTATGTAATTTATTTTTAAAATCAGTCTGTTTTCCTTTAGACAACTAAAATATATTTTCTATAGCTAAAACGTTAACTTTATAGATTTTGCATACTATTTTTAAAATTTATTTTGTGAAATATTGTTTTTCTAATGTTTATATGCATTTCTTTCATATGTCAGTAATTTAAAACCTTGACTTGCAATATTCAGTAGCTACACTGAGACTGAAAATAACTTGTAGAGAATTTAGTTAAGTACATAAGAATGACTATATTTGGTCAGATCAGTAGTCCATCTAGTAGCAGTTTTGCAATTTCATATTTGAGTTTCTTCAGAACTCTTGGCTGAATACCATCTGTTCCTGGTGACTTACTGCTGTTTCATTTATCAGTTTGTTCCAAAACAACCTCTGCTGTTGCTTCAATCTGTGACAGTTCCTCAGATATGTCACCTAAACAGAATGGCTCAGGTGTAGGACTCTCCCTCACATCTTCTGCAGTGACGACTGTTGCAGAGAATTCATTTAGCTTCTTCATAACTGCCTTGTCTTCCTTGAGTGCTCCTTTAGCATCTCGATGGTCCAATGACCCACTGATTGTGATGTGTCCTGCTTCTTATGTACTTTCAAAAAAAAAAAATTGTGGTTAGTGTTTGTGTCTTTTCATAGTTGTTCCTCAAATTCATTATGGCCTGCATAATTATACTTTGACTCTTGACTTGCCAGAGTTTGTGCTCCTTTCTATTTTCCTGAGTAGGATCTGACTTCCCATTTTTAATAGATATTGTTTTAAATTTCTAACGAACTTTTTTTACTCTGTTTGGTCATTATGGCATTTTTTGGGGGGGGGGTGTTCTCTTTTATATTTTTATAATATATATATATTTGGTGTGCGTATTTATGTATGTATAGATAGTTTGACCCTCTATTATGGTGTTTTAAAACAGCTTCCATGCAGCTTGCGGGCATTTAACTCTTGTGACTGTTCCCTGTAATTTTAGTTTACTTAGCCTCATTTTTGTGTAGTTTCCCTTTTTTGAAGTTAAATGCTCCTGTGGTGGCTTTGGTATTTTCCTCCCTCCAAGGATGTTAAATTTAGTTATAGTGTGGTCACCATTATTGAGCAGTTGAGCTATATTTACCTCTTTGGACCAGTTTAGGACTAAATCAAGAATTTCCTCTCCTCTTATGGGTTCCATGACTAGCTGTTCCAAGACATTAATGGTATCTAGAAATTTTATTTTTGCATCCCATCCTCAGGTGAAGTGTTCCCAGTCAATATGGGATAGTTGAAATCCCCTATTCTTTTATTGGGTTTTCTGTTTTTGTAGCCTCTCTAATCTGCCTGCGCATTGCACAGTCACCATCACCATCCTGGTCAGGTGGTCAGTAATGTATTCCTAGTGTTATATGCTTATTATTCAAGCATGGCATTTCTATCTATAGAGATTCTATGGAACTATTTGATTCATTTACGATGTTTACTAAATTTGCCTCTGCTTTCTTTCACACATAGTGCCATCCCTTCCCGCCTCCAGTGGTGCAACCTATGTTGTCATTCCTATATATTTTCTACCCTGGTATTGCCATGCCCCATTGATTATTTTCGTTCCACCAAGTTTCTGTGATGCCTATTATATCAATAGCTTCATTTTAATATCAGGCACTCAAGTTCCCTCATCTTAGTATTTAGACTTCTTGCATTTGTATACAAGCACTTATAAAATGTGTCAATATTAATTTGTCTGCCTTCATGTGAGATAATTAAATGGGCCTCTTTTTTTCATTTGACTGTTTCTCTTCCGTTCTTATCTGTACTTTTATTAACTTCTATCCCTATTAATAAATCCTGGCCAAAAGGAATGTGTCTGTCCAAACTCACACCTTCTGACTTTCCCCCAGCCCTCAGTTTAAAGAATCCTCTATGACCTTTTTAATTTTACATGTCAGCAATCTGGTTCCATTTTGGTTTAGGTGGAGTTCATCCTTCCTGTATAGCCTCCTCATTTCCCAAAAGGTTTTCCCAGATCCTAATGAAACTAAATCCATTTGGTTTACTGGACATCTATGTTAGTATCTTGTAAAATCAGATAGTGAATGTACACAGAAGCATGATGATTTTTAGATACGGAGTTGAGATCAACTGTACTAAAAGCAGGACTGAGCTCATGCTGTTGTCATCTTAGAGAGGAGGCAAATGTTCCTGGTTGTATTTTGTGTCAACATATTATTTCTTTTAGGAATATCCAAGGGTTACAATTGCTGTTTTCATTGAACAACCAACTCCTTTCCTACCTAAATTTTTAGACAGACTGTTGACTCTGGATTACCCAAAGGAACCACTTAGTATCTTCATTCATAATAATGTAAGTACGGGGGAACTATCTGGACCAGTTTTACTTTTATTCAGGTGCAATTGCTAAAATGTAATTGAGATTTTGCGTACTATGGTAAGCAGCAATGGAAAATATGTGGTGATATAATGTTAAATAGGAGCAACAGCACTTTTATCAAGGAGTTTATTTGATTAAATTCAAGAGGCACTTTCTGGAACCTTTAATTGAATTGGATTAGTTTTTTTCTGCTTTCTGTAGCCAAGACCTCAATGTTATTTTATTACAATTCGGGTTCCTGATGTATGTCATAACATTTGTATTCCATGAAGCTCCCAGCCTTAAAGTGAAAGATATGAGTCTCCAAAACATACACAGGAGAGAACAGTTGGGCTGACTTTTACTTTGAGTGCTCCTTGCTGTTCATCTAAGGCAGTGATTCTCAACCTCTGGCCACGGGCCGCTTGCAGCCCAATCAGCACCGTGCTGTGGCCCATGTGAAATCTTCAGGGGCATACAGGTAGTATTGGATGCGGCCCATGTAACACATTGTAAGAACCACTTATCTAAGGGCTCAATCCTGCAAGACTTACGCCCTATTGACTTCAGTAGCATTAATCATATGAGTAGTTACTGATGTGCACAAGTCTTTGCAGGATTGGCTCATAAGTGATGTGATAATAGGATTGGTCCCTGTATTTTTCTCTCTTTACACCGGCATGTAGTCCATTGACATCGATGGCATAGCATGCCTTGATAAGGAGTTGGCCCTCAAGCTTTATGAATATTTTTGTGGGGGGATAGTAAAAGATATGCAGATTATATACCAGTTAATAATTATGGGCTTTTATCATTGTGCAAAACAAATGCCTCATTGTGCCAATCAGAAGTTAAATAGCCTTTGAAATTATCAAAAAGTTGGCTATCCTCCTTTTTAATATAAAGAGGGGGAAAATTGGTGAGAATTTGGGTGGGTTGTTTTTTTTTAATTATTCTAAAGCCAGCCATGTTATCTGAGAGTTGGCTTAGAACTATTGCATGCTGTACAAAACTGTAAGGCATAGCCAAGGAAATTAGCAATAAAGAGAAATAATAATTAGAAACTCATTTCTGAGAGAATTATCAAATATTCAGCACTTCTATGAATATACACAGAAATGTTGTTTTTACCAACTTGGGTGAAGATGCTCTGCACAACTTCCACCCTGCTTCCTCCTCACAAACACTCCGTTCTTTCAGTCAGTGTGTCCAAACAGTTTCTCCACCTCCATCCATTTAAAAGGCCTCATGTCATAACAAACTTCCTAACTTCACAGAAGGATGGATATTGTTCTAGCCAGAGTAAGTTTTGTGCCTCTCCTCCTACTGGCCAGCCAGGATCATTGGAGAGCAGTGAGAGGCACTAACTCTACAGCGTTCTTAACCTGAAAGTGAGAAACTGAACCTAAGATCCAAACACTGATCCCTACGTGCATTTTATAAAGCTCTAAGCCCACATCCTGCAACTGGATATGTGTGGGCAGACCCCTACATCTCTACAGAGCCCACTGAAGTCCATGGGCATTTGCGTGGCCATAAGGGTTCATCTGTGCAGATTTTATTGTGGGTTTGGGGCCATAGGTTGCAAAATATGCATCAAGCAAAATTATCATTTAAACAGTTTGCGACTCCCCCTGTACTAGAACCACAATAGTTACACGAATTCCATTGTTGCACCACAGAGATTTTTCTAAATTCTTCAGCAAAAGAGCTTGTTTTAGTACTTGAAAATATTCTGAAGATATCTGCAAAAATTGTAATCGCCTCTTCTTTCTTCCTGTGATAGTACAATTTGCATTTGGACATTAAGTGTTTTCTTATTTGTGTCTTACAGCACAGCAATTGGTATTTTACATTAACTCTGAATTATGTTAACATGATTACAGGAGGTTTATCATGAAAAGCACATCAAGAAATTTTGGGAGAAAGCCAAGAAGGCTATCAGAAGTATAAAAATTGTTGGACCTGAGGAGAACCTGAGTCAAGCAGAAGCCAGGAACATGGGAATGTAATTAATTTTTTTTTAAAATTGTATATGAATGTTAAGTTAGATTATGCATTTTCAACAGAGGATAAATAGACACTTAAGCAAAGATTTTCACGGAATAACACACTGTATTTAGACACACATAGTGGAATATTGAATGTTTTATGATGTGTCCTCATTATGTATACCGTTGTTTGTTTTTAATATAAAAAGCTGTTGTTCATTTGTGTAGGCATTTCTTGTTGGCTTGGATTTAGCTTTGTTTAAATTATCTATCATTTGGACTTCAGATGAAGGCTTTCAGAATATAGGGAGTAATAGATTATGTAGGAGTGGAGCAGATGTTGTGGATTATTCATGAAGTATATCTGGCAGGAACATGAACATATTTCTAAGCATATATGATGAGCAATAAAATCTGTCCAAATATAAATTCGTGTTTTTGAAAAGAAGCATGCTATGCAAACAAAGTAAATGATGCAACATAAAGTACTAGTTAAACTTTATACTACATTACAATACGAAATGTGTGGCTGTTGTTTCAAGTTTAAATAGATATGTTAATTTCTGAAAAAAGTATTTTTTTTCTGCTACTATTTTCAGGGGTGCACATATGCTCAAGACCTAAAACAAAGTTAATATAGACTGATGTGTCAAGGAAAAAAAATACAGCTTGCATTCAAAGATGCATCAACTCTATGCATTGTTGTACTCGACATCTTCCATCTTGTTTCTTATAGTAAAATTAAACTTAATGTAGAACTAGAGAGAGATCTGAGTATGAACACACCATAATTTTCTCTTTCCGCATGTATGGAGTAGGGTGGGGTTCAGAAACTGAACCCATACCCAGATTTTGCATCTGGCTCTTGTTCCATTAATTTGTATTTCATTAGTTCAGATCCATTCTGAACATCCTCCCCTAAGCTTTATATGTGGGTGTAGTTTGGAACCTGAGCTTTGATCTGTATTTTATGGGTTTGGTCTAGTCTCTCTAGGTAACAGTGAGATTTCAGTCTACAGAGACTATGTTAAATTCCAGATCAAACTGCTCAATAATCCATTTTATTTCCCTAATATCAAATATATACATTCCCACTCAGTGGGTTTACAATTACTTCCATTTTATTCTGTAAAAGTACATTTTCTTTCATTATTTTAGATTATTTATTTGTATTTGGGAGGGCCTTAGTGCTATTGTTTGTTTTTCTGGGTTGTGTAGAGTTACATCAGATGCTAAGGATTAACAGATTTGTTGACCTTTTCCCATGTTTTGTTCTAAACCGTATATGCAGCTACTTCCAACTTTACATCTGCTTCCATGTGTTTAATGGCCTCTAAAACTGTATTTCATTGTACTTCCAATGAGAAATTGCAATCGTGATTATTCTCAGGACATTGCAAAACAATTCTTACGGGAGAGGAACTGAATCATACAGGGCTCCTAGTTGCTGTTTTTGATATTGAGAATTTGTTGATTTAAAACCTCCAGTGGATGTTATCTTTGTCCATGTTTAAGTTCTTTTGACTTAGTGGTCTAAACATTATTTAGGGGATTATAGATATTTTCCATCCCCAAAAGGGCACTTCCATATTACCGATGTGTTTCTGGCAATCTTACCTGCTGTTGGGTATTCCCTGGGATCTTTTATTACCTTGGAGGCATAGTAATAATTAAGAAAAGGACCCTCACTATAAAACCAATTAAGTTTCAGAATAGAATAACACAACTCCAGAAGCACAGCTAAACCACAGGTTAAACAATCAGTTTGGAAGTAAGAATCAACCACTAAATTGTTAGACAAATAAACACTTCCTGTCTGCTGACAACCCCCTCCCCCCCACTAGTGGTGATGACTAATGGACCGCATTCCCCTCTTTGGCTTATTAGAGCCTGTTAAATGTAACTGAAGATACCAGTAGTGTTCTGATTGCATCTATAGGTCAAATGCGTCCCCGGTGCCGCTTGGTTAGGCGTGAAGAGGAGTTGCATGCCCAACGCCAGGGCTGACTTTGGCCTTTGTGTATTTACATATTTGTCCTGCATCTTTTTCTGACAGCCACTGTATATTCCTTGCCTTTTCTCTGCATGCCTAGGTAGTTATACCAAGAGATGTTTCAAAAATATTTCATTGTCACCCCCTTACCACTAAACATATGTATCCTGATGTAAGAGGTTAAATTTGTGTGTGTAATATATGGTCATGTGAAAATGTGTACTGCATCATACAGGGCTCCAAGCTATTGTTCATAGATTCATAGATACTAAGGTCAGAAGGGACCATTATGATCATCTAGTCTGACCTCCTGCATGACGCAGGCCACAGAATCTCACCCACCCACTCCTGCAAAAAACCTCTCACTTATGTCTGAGCTATTGAAGTCCTCAAATCGTGGTTTAAAGACTTCAAGGAGCAGAGAATCCTCCAGCAAGTGACCCGTGCCCCATGGTACAGAGGAAGGCGAAAAACCTCCAGGGCCTCTTCCAATCTGCCCTGGAGGAAAATTCCTTCTCGACCCCAAATATGGTGATCAGCTAAACCCTGAGCATATGGGCAAGATTCACCAGCCAGATACTACAGAAAATTTTTTCCTGGGTAACTCAGATCCCACCCCATCTCACATCCCATCACAGGCCATTAGGCCTATTTACCATGAATATTTAAAGATCAATTAATTACCAAAACCATGTTATCCCATCATACCATCTCCTCCATAAACTTTCGAGTTTAATCTTAAAGCCAGATAGATCTTTTGCCCCCACTGCTTCCCTTGGAAGGCTATTCCAAAACTTCACTCCTCTGATGGTTAGAAACCTTCATCTAATTTTAAGTCTAAACTTCCTAATGACCAGTTTATATCCATTTGTTCTTGTGCCCACATTGGTACTGAGCTTAAATAATTCCTCTCCCTCTCCGGTATTTATCCCTCTGATATATTTATAGAGAGAAATCATATCTCCTCTCAACCTTCTTTTAGTTAGGCTAAACAAGCCAAGCTCCTTGAGTCTCCTTTCATAGGACAGGTTTTCCATTCCTCGGATCATCCTAGTAGCCCTTCTCTGTACCTGTTCCAGTTTGAATTCATCCTTCTTAAACATGGGAGACCAGAACTGCACATAGTATTCCAGGTGAGGTCTCACCAGTGCCTTGTATAATGGTACTAAAACCTCCTTATCCCTACTGGAAATACCTCTCCCGATGCATCCCAAGACCGCATTAGTTTTTTTCACGGCCATATCACATTGGTGGCTCATAGTCATCCTATGATCAACCAATACTCCAAGGTCCTTCTCCTCCTCCGTTACTTCTAATTGATGCGTCCCCAGCTTATAACTAAAATTCTTGTTATTAATCCCTAAATGCATAACCTTACACTTCTCACTATTAAATTTCATCCTATTACTATTACTCCAGTTTACAAGGTCATCCAGATCCTCCTGTAGGATATCCCGGTCCTTCTCTAAATTGGCAATACCTCCCAGCTTTGTATCATCCGCAAACTTTATTAGCACACTCCCACTTTTTGTGCCAAGGTTAGTAATAAAAAGATTAAATAAGATTGGTCCCAAAACCGATCCCTGAGGAACTCCACTGGTAACCTCCCTCCAGCTTGACAGTTCACCTTTCAGTATGACCCCTGTAGCCTTCCCTTTAACCAATTCCTTATCCACCTTTCAATTTTCATATTGATCCCCATCTTTTCCAATTTAACTAATAATTCCCCATGGGGCACGGTATCAAATGCCTTACTGAAATCTAGGTAAATTAGATTGTTAGTTTAATGTTGAGAATCATTGATCTATCTTCCTCTATCCCCATTTAAATTCTTTTGAATTAATGGGCCTAAACATCACTTAGGAAATACTTGTAATCCCTGGAACCTTAATTTTGATTCCAGTTGATTTATTCCTTCATCCATCTTTAGGCTTGACCCTACCCTTATGAGGTAGAGAGAGGATCATGAAGTCTACTCTGTGCTGTTCTTTTGAGGTTTGCAGGTTTGAAAAAATAAATAAATAAATAAAGATACTCTGCTTTTTCTCCACTATTACATACTGCACTTGAAAACTTGTGAACTGGTTTATTGTATGTGCAGCTCTAGAGGATCTTCCACCCTTCCCCATTTATATTATTGTATAAGTGTAAAAGGGAAGTGCTATCTTCAGTAATAAGCTTATATCATATTATAACACTAAGCTCCAGATCTCAGTTGCAGAGCCTAGAGATCTCTGCCTCCTCTCATGAAGCTTACAGTAGCATAATGTGACAGAAAGCAGAACTACATACAAAAGCCCCTAAGACTCTTTGCGATCCAGCGGATTATAAATAATTTAAATGGATGGTAGGAGTGGTGGCTATAAACTAGCCATTCACCAGAAGATTAAAAAGAGCCCCACAAAACTACCTGTTTGTCAGTGTTGCATAGCATTCTATCAAACTCCCCTGTGTAAGATAAAAGTATGTGATACATAACAGTGGATACTTATTTCCACCACAATACAAATATAATTTGGCCCATGTTGTTCCTCCTCTCAAATGCCCCTTGCTAACAGTCTCTGTCCTGCAGGGGATGTGTTGCATAAAGGGAAAGTGTAAAAAATCATATACAAGCCAACACAGAGAACTGCACTGTGCTCAAATGATAACTATTAAAAGTAGGAATTTTAAAGTGAGTAATGCAAATATAAATTGACAGAGCACCTAATTCAACCTAAAATCAATTCCACGTTCAACTATGTATTCTTCTATCCTCAAGGTCTGTTTCCACTCCCTCCTGAAATTAATCTGATTCCCTGTGGCATCTGAAAAATGTATGTTTGCTTTTCTCTGATAAATCCAACTAAACTTTTGGGTTAGATTTGTGACACAAATTCCCTGTGGGTTATATCTGCTGCTTGCTCTCAGCCTTTTCTTCTCTTCATCTGGAATTCAGAATTTTATTCCATTCCCTTTAGTATTCCAATGTGAATGCATTGAAAAGAGTGACTCTTCACAAATCTGACTTTTTTTTCAAATTTT